AAAAAAAAAAAAAAAAAAAAAAAAAAAAATGTTTCCATTGCAGTTTTGCATAGTAAGCCAATTTCGATTCAGGTATAAAAAAAAAATATATCATCCTTCGCTTTTATCGAAAAATGAGGATTTTTTCAAAATCGGTGTTTTCATTAAGCAAATTTATTTTCAAGCTGTCAAATCCACATGGTCAATGCAAACACAGCTACTGACGGTGGATTAGCTCTGATTTACAGCGCAGAACATCCGTATCGGTTTCTGCTGAGATGATTTCCACACCACATGTCAGTACCAGCCCAGTTAACACACACACATACATTGTGTTATGAATGACACTGCACAGAGAACGCGCTTACAGGTTTCAGCTGGCTTCTCGTCTTTCTTTACATTTTTGTATCTTCTTCATGTGTTTCCTGTCTCATCCCTCTCTGTTACACATCATCCATCCATCCATCCATTTTCTGAACACCCTTGTCCCTCAGTGGGGTCGGGAGGGGTGCTGGTGCCTATCTCCAGCTAACGTTCTGGGCGAGAGGCGGGGTACGTTACACATCATTTATGAGCTAATTTGCATTTCGTTTGTTGAAGTGTTCTGTAACTTTAATGTCAACTCCATTATCCATCCTTCCTCCCTCCATGTTCTCTACCTAATCTCTGCTTCTCAGAATTCTTTCTCTCCCTCATATACTTCATTTACACGCGCACACACACACACACAGATTTAGGACCTCATTATTCAGGAATGTGGAGTATTTCTTTACATTGTGTGGATCCTCTGAAGCTGAACTGTTCAGGTAAAGATAAGGCTGTTTCCTCTGGCTGATCTCTCTGGAGTCTTACCCCCCCGGCCGTCCTCACATCATCCACAACTCTTCATCTTCTTATCTCGGTTCCCGGCAACGCAGTCGTGTGTTTGTGCTGTGGTTGTTCCCACACCTCGCCATGAGCCACACCCCGAGTGTTAAGGTGGACGCTCAGGGCGTCAGAATTGGAGGCTGGGGAGAGGAGGACGGCAACTCCTGAGCGTAGGATGTGACGGCTCAGGTGAGACTGGAAGAAGACCAGATGGAAAAACAGTAAAGAGACAAACGGGAGACGTTTCACACCCTGCTGGAAGCCTCTCATTAACCGCCTTTCCATCACAAATGTGTGCAAATCTTTGTCTAGATACCGCTAATGTCAAAGGAAATGCAGTTGCTGTGTTTATATTAAATAAGAAATTATTAAAATTAAAATCACACGTGAATAAGTTATTGAGAAACTTGCCACACAGTCATCCTTCTGCCACTTCCTGTCATCTTCTTCATCTTTTCCCCAGTAGCGTCATCCGACTGTTGATCACTTGAGTCAAGATGCAAAAAACTGTTTTCATTGCACTTTTGTGAATTCTGTTTTCTCAATTCTGTTGTCAATAGAAACACAGCTATTAATGTTCTTCATTTACTCAGATTACAACCTGAAGCTTCTAAATGTGAGTGTTTTTTTTAGTCAGGGTAATGCAGTTCAACAGACAGCGAGCTGCACCAGATGTGAGCCAAGAGGAGCATTCACACACCTACAACATCACAAACCTGCCAACTGAGACCGGCTTCAGGTACACCACACACACCACAGGGTCAGGTCATTTAACTAGGGGGTATTTTCATTTAGCAAGTTCAGATTCAACCAAGGTTACTCTAGCTAACTAAATAACATAAATTGGTTGGAGTTTGAGAAGACAGAGCAACAGAACTGACTGAGGAGTACTTTCTGTGATTGAGAGAAGTCAAAACACACACACACTCACACCACAAGGTCAGGTCATTTATAAATATAAAGACAACAGTTGAAATAACAGAAAACAATGCAGATTGGAGAGTAGTAGGAGATGAAGGTGGCAGGTTGAGGGAAAAGTGGTCAGTTTGTCCTCCAACAGCTTTAGCCTGTAGCAGCGTAACCCCAGAGATAGATCAACCAGGACCAGGTGCTGTGATGGCAGAGGGGTGAAGCACAACCCACTTATGGAGACTTTAGTCCTTGATGCAGCTGTCGCAGGTTCGATTCCCAGCCTGGTGACCCCTGCCGCATGTCTTCCTCCTCTCTCATTACCCACTTCCCTGTCAATTCACTATCACATAAAGGCCACTAGAGCCAATAAAACCTTTAAAAAAATAAAAAGAGATAGATCAGGATAAGCTAACTACTCAGAATGAGGCGGAGCCATGTTGATACTAAAGCATCCTCTTTCACCATGACAACAACCCAAAGCATTCACTCAGATCAGAAAACGAACGTCTGCAGTTCCCCTTAAGGAGATTTTTATTTTAAATCTTACTGAGAATTTGTGTTCTGTAAGAAAATCCAACTTCATCAGTGTCAGTTTAATCAATCACAGTTTCATTCGTCCGTTCGTTCATACAAATAAACATGAGTTTTAGCATGGGTATGTAAAAGATGAATTCTGCAGAAGGAGCTTAATGATATTTCTGCAGCAATATGTTGCACAAGCCTTTATTGCATCTTCTGACCTGCTGACCTCCACAGAGAGGGAATCCACTGGATATGTCATTCATTACAGTCACATTGATTTAGTTTTAGTTTTAGTGACCTGTTGTTTTTTGTCATGAAATCTTTTATATAACAAATAAAACATGGCAAAGATTTACAGGGCCAGTGTTATGTAAAATGTACTTTTTTTTAGCTTTAAATCATGTTATGCTATTCCATCATAAAAACCATCATACCTGGAGTGTTGCTTTGATTTTTTCATGCATGTTTAAGAAATCCGTTAATCTCCCATGGCAACAATTCAGCAGTACAAAATGCCTGGATGGACCTAGCTCCACCTTTGAGGACAAAGCTCCTCCTTAGAGCTGCAGTTTGAAAGCTCCTGAGTTTCTGACTCACTCAGCTCCTTCAGACTAGCCAGCAGCAATTAGCAAACACCTGGTGAAACTGCACATCTGCTGAGCTCGTTATAGGAGTTACTTCTCAGTGAAACACCAGTTAAAACGTTGTTAAAGGGTCCATAGAGGAGCCATGTTGTGATGACTTCCTGAAGGCGGAGTTGACAGTTGTGTGTACAGAAAAAAAGTGTTTTAGCATCCGCTAACTCCCACCAAACTTAAGAGTGGTTTACAGATCAACTGAAGGATGATGATGGTGGAACAGCTGGTCAGAAAAATTAGTAGAAAAGCAACTACAGTCCAAAGGAAAAAAAAAAAAAAGAACAGGCAAGTCAAGTGTTTTGATAACTGAATCTCTGTATGTCCTCTCTGTTTCTCAGAGGCTCGTCCGGTCTGGAGGAGGTGGTGGAGAAGCAGGCCGACCTCATAGAGTACCTGAAACAGCACAACACCTTACTGAGCAAGAGGCTGCTCAACCTCACCGCTCAGCACTGAGCTCACCCTGCTGATGAAAGCCTCCAGCTCTCAGGAGGAAAATCCTCCTGAGAGCTCCACCGCTCTGAGAGGAGATCTGAAGGAATAAAGTGGAGCAAACACACCTGTTCACACACACTGAGCCTGCCGGCTCCACCGCCGAGGCCTCCGTACCTGAGATGGACTGATAGAGGAGGAGGATGGGAAGTAGAAGGAGGAGGTGGAGTCATGGGTCACAGATCTGAGGTGACGGAGGTTTTTATCTCTGCTCTACAAGCTTCACTGACCTCTGACCTCTGACCTCCAGTCTGTTCCTCTGAAAGCAACAGAGCAGTAAGAGCATCTGCACAAAGGACAGAGAGGTTATCATCTACCTGGGTCAACATGTACTGTTTTATTGATCGCATTACTTTTCTTACATGTTTTCTCGTTAATTCCATGAATCAATAAAATCTTTGATTTTTCTCACTTCCTTTCGTCTTACCCTGAACTTTAGATCAGCTGCAGCAGCAACACTATTGTGCTTCATATGTTCAGTTTAAAACCATGGTAACGTGGAGGCCGTCACTGTCTGCGTCTCCATTGAAACGGGCAATTTGTAATGGACACGTTCTTCACATTTTTCATTTAACCTCTTAAAAAATACAAACAAATATTTAAATTCTGTTTTTAAGTAATAAAATAGACATCTGATTTCCTAAAATGCAATAACAGCATTCCTTGGTGTACTTGATCATTTGTAACAAAGCATGCACCTGCTAAAAATATGTGTTTAATATGAACATGAGATTTACTTTTATTTTATTTTAGGGTTGTTGTTTTTTTTTTGTTTGTTTTTTTTACAGAATTTGAATCTGGTTAGGCTAAAAATATTCCACTTAAGGAGTTCTGGGTAAAATACTTTTACATATTTCTTTTTTTATATGAAATGTAAAGTGTATTATGAGGGAGGGGGATGTTTGGTTTTTTTTACACTTTTGGCTTAATTACTGCTCTGAATATATTCTTTCAGCAACTGTTTCCTCCAGTAAACAATTATTTCAAAAATTGATTCATGGCGATTAATCCAACTGATTCAGCCACATTTTAACAGATCTCAGGTGGGACAATATGTCCATAGGTCAACTATGAATCATGCACTGTTGTGGGGTCGCTCATCTTCAGCAGTGACAGAAGTTCGCCTCTGTCACAGACATAAACTCACAGCCAGAAATGCAATGGAGCCGTCTGTACGGACAGTCATAAGGTCCATTATTTCACTTATGGACCTTATGACTGTCCTGAAATGGCCTAGTCAAAGTTCAAACTTGATTCCAATTGAGAACTTGCGGAGATACTTAGAAAATTTATCGTCCCAGATGTTCACCATCTAACTTGACTGAGTTTCTGATATTTTTTTCTTTTGAAGGAAGAATGGGAGAAGTAAAAATAATACAACTGCACTTTTTTTATTAAAAAGGTGAAAAAGTTTCTCAGTCAGCAGCGGAAGTTCATTCATAGATACATACATTATAAACAGATTGTTCAGTCTCTTTGGTCTGCAGTGTTTCTGCTAAACGCTGAACATTCTTCATGATAAATCTTCTCTCTCCTGGTTATGAAATGTGACTCCAGGATGGAGCTCCAAGTCTCTGAAGTCACATCTGTGAACGCCACGCTGCGCCGCTGTCAGCTTTTATGGTTTAAACTCTGTCCTGAATGAACAGTTTTTCATCTTAAGTCTCGAGGAGAGGCTGACTTTGAAGTTCTCCCTTTGGCGTGGCGTCGTGGTCGTCTCTGAGTGGCGTTTCAAGGATTTCTCTCCTCCAACTCCTGCGTCCGTCTGTCCTGACTGATCCATCCACGCCGCCCAGGATCACATCCATCCTCACTCCTCTGAAGAGTTTCCTCTGCCTGGGATGGAAAAAATAAAACACTTTCCTTAATGTCCTGCTGAGACGACTTCAGAGTAAATGAGCAGGAATCGCCTCTCTGGCATTAAAGCATTCCTCTTCATCATTAGCTGGATTTATGCCTCAACCTTTTCCTCCACGCTCCCTTTTTCTGCGTGAACCCACTGCTGCTGATCACAGCCACCCTGCTAACTGCCTGGCCTGTAACCCCACTTTGTTCCATCCATCATGCAGCTTCACTGCAAAAACACAAACTCTTACCAAGTATTTTTAGTCTAGTTTCCACTTACAACATAACTGAATCTGACAAAGGAACATATATTTTCTTCATCAATATTAAGAAAATACCGACTTAAAATAAGCTCATATTTATTGCTGAAAAGTTACTTGTGAGTCAGTTTTGTCTTACGATATTTGCACTATAAACTTGACCAAAATGACTCGATAAGATGTCGTGTTTTCGCAGTGTTGACAGAAACACGGTTCACCTCAGGGGAACGGGACTCTGGAGTGGAGAGGCATGCAGCGCCTGTGTGGACAGTGGTGTCTGTGGTATTTTCTCTTCAGGTTCAGGAAGTCTGAAAAAGACAAGATTGTATTTAAAAAACACCAACACAAGGGACATGGACAAGCTAGGACTGTTAGCTGCTAGTTATGGCTGTTCAGACAAATAATCTGGAGGCCTTCCAGTTGGGTTCCATGATTTTTTACACCCCACAGTTTTTTGAACACAAAGGAAAGTCCTTTTAAAATTCATTATAAATATTATAGATACCATTTTATTTTAACCCTCCTGCAGTCTTAGCATGACACTCAGCTCATCTCTGAAATTTTATTTTAGAAATATAAAATTTCTATAAATAGCACCATATGCTATTCTGTACGTAGCACATTTATAGAAACGTGTTCCCCATGCTTCCCATTAGCGAAGCGGTCGGATGGTGTGTTCCATCAGACTGTCAGTTCTCAAAACAATACATACAAATACATACAAATAAAAAAAAAAAACTTGCAAATGCACACGCTGGGTAAGTTCAACCCCACCTGACTGCGCACAGGGTAAAAAGCTTGTGAGGCCTAATGGACCCCCGTCTCTTAACAGGGTTAAATGAACGCCATTTCGAACTTCTGTCCTTGCCATTTTTACTCCCTTAAAAGTCAGTTTTAGCAAACAAAGTAGTTTCCTCCCCCTTCCTAAATATAAGTCTGATTATTTTCTGAGCATGTTTATGTCAAGAATTGGCAGCAACACTGACTATTTATTTATTTATTTATGTTGTGCAAATATTCTTGTAAATAATTTTTTTCGCCTATTACTTTACTCCAACAACAAAATGTATGAGTTTTAATTGTAATTATTCTTGCAAAGTTTGTTTTTACATAACTTGCAGGAACATTTTTGGCTAATGACGTCATTTTAACCTTTAACATTTTTTTTAAATAATCAAAATGATTCCTCATTGCTTAACCTGTATGTCAAACATTACCCCACTGTCTGGAAGGGATTTTTAAGAAAACGCAAGATTTTTCATGAAAAATAAAATTACTTTAATTTAAACAAATAAAATTTAATGGTTTTAAGTGAAACTAAAATGCTATAGGGCGACAAAAATGCCCTAAATTCTGTAAAATAAAACTTAAAATTTTTTTTACATAACTTGCAGGAACATTTTTGTTGTGTCTCTGCATCAACACAGCCGAATTAATGAAACAATTTCTTTAAACATGTCCAGGGATACTTATCTATTTCCTGTGGTCAGGTTATAAATGTAACTACGCCATAAACTTGATCCCTCGTGAACACTTGCAAGTGTTTTACTGCGTGGAGTCATTTAGGTGCAGCTGGGCAGAGCGGGAGAGAAAGAGACCTAACACGTGATTATTTCTGAACGTCCCCAATAAATCCCCTCTGGTCCCGTGGTTCAGAGGCTGCTGGAGGCCGAGCCCAGGAAGAAGGAGGTCCACTGCTGGATGACTTTATGACCCCCTCCACCACCAGCAGCAGCAGCTGCCTCCTTCCAGAAGAAGCGCCTGAAGCCCGGCCTCCACACCTGGCCCTGCTGCAGAATCTACATGGCGCTTTAACACCGTGATTAACAAAAGCCCGCCGCAGCGCCGGAGGGGGGCAGACCAGGTCGCCCTCGTGGCTGCTGTGCTATTCGCCGGCGGCCAACTCCATCCTCCATCATCATCATCATCATCATCATCACATGAACCTCGACCTCCGCCTCACCCCCTAACCTGCCCAACCACAGCTGGTGGTCTTGAAATTTACCGCAGAAACAAATGAATTCATAAATTCATATTTTATTTTTTGTGCGTTCAAAAAAACAGGTTACAGAGCAGACTGACCTGGTGTGGAACAGAATGTAAACTAATTTAACAGCGCCGAAAGAAGCACCTAGCCCGTTAGCCCGAACAGCCAAGTCCATGCTAACTTTAGCCTCCCGCTAACAAGAAAATTCTTTTTTCAAAAAATTAAACGTCTGTCGGTATGTTTTATTAATTATCTGTTCAGAAACTGTTATTATTATTATTATTATTATTATTATTATTATTATTATTATTATTATTATTATTTATTATTATTATTAAATTAAGCTCGGTACTAGCTAGGTATTTTTCACTGTTAAGTGTCTATAAGCTTGAAACTGCTATTTCAGTTGCTGTGGTTATCAGCTAATGATGTCCGGTTTCAACATTTTGTTTAGCTTTTGTTTAGAAATGTTTAGCTAAAGGCACAAACTTTATTCATTGGGGGAAGTATTAATGATTTGTTTTCTCAAAGGAGTTTTGACATTTACATCATTCTCAAATTTGACATCTTAAAACTTAATGTAAACCAAGCTCTTTGCTTTTGAGGGTTTAGCAAAATGATTGAGTGAATATTACAGAGAGCTGGGTAGTTTAGGGTTAGGTTTAAGGGTGAGGTGTGGGTTAGGTGGGGTCAGTGTGTAGAGTCTTACCTGGTCTGACTGAAATCATGGGAGCTACCAACGCTGTGAGCAGCACCAACAAGTACAGCAAGTTGAAAACCTTCATGGCTGAGCTGCTGCTTTGAAAATTTTCCAAAAGTTTGGAAACTTCCTCTGGTTCTGGTTCTGATACTGGATGGACTGACGATGCTCCGTCTTCTTGCCCTCCCTCAACTTGTTTCTAGCCCAGAAAACAGAGAGAAGTCATCAACCACGAGCCCGTTCTTCCTAGAACTTGTCAGCAGCTCCCAGTAGGATCTGTGGGTCCAGCCAGTGTGAGGTTGTCTCAAAGTGACCAAGGTAACATCTCCCCCCCTTCTGTTTTATACAGCCCTTCAGAGGGAGGGGTACACCCTGACAACACCCCCCTCTCCAGACCCCCTCCTCTCTCTCTCTCTCTGCTTTTGACTCACACACTGCCTCTCCAGCACACACTCTCAGGCGCTGCACATATTGACCCCACATGTAGAGAGTAATTCCAGTGCCAGGAAGCCCCCCCCCACCCCCCGGTTCCCTCGGTCCACACAGGCTGCTGCTGCCTTTTGCATCTTGACTGATTGATTTGTTCAAGGAGAGCGGAAGAGGCAGGCAGAGAGGATTTATCACCGCCGCCATTTGAGAGGCTGGAGCTGAGAGTAGCAGGTCCTTCGTGAACCAGATCCCTGCAGTTGTCCCCTGCCCCCCCATTAATGAGGAACCACATCTGGGGTTGGGTGTTGCTCTTTGACCGGGTCCGGGAGGAGGGGGGCAGTCGGAGGGGGCTGTTGGCCTTTTGCATCCAGCGTTTAGGAGCCTGACTCAGTGAAATTCAGAGATCTTTTGCACAAGCCAATTAGCCGACGAAGACTTACTGTCTGTCTGTCTGGGATGCCATCTGATGTCTCCGTCTGCTGGCTGGACACTGAATCGGAATCATCTTTGTCGTCAGTGTTGCAATAAGGACTTTGGTACTTCTCAATGGCAGCATGATAAATTACAGTATATATATAAAAATATACATGAATACATACAAAATACATGTCAAAAATCAGTTATTTTGGGATAGTCGCTCCAAATTTCTGCCATTTCCAAAAAATATGATTCCATAAAGCTGTTTATATATATATATATATATATATATATAAACATATTTGTCGAAACTGTCACTATATTGTGACAGCTTGGTATGAAACAGATAATTGGTTAAAATGTTGAGCTCCTCAGCCCTCTCCTACACCAACTAGAAACAACCAATCACAGCCAGGAGGCGGGTCTTAGCCCTGTCAATCACTGTCTCATGTGGTGCTGCTCATTCTCCCTCCCTTGCTTTTTGCTACGCTGCAACTAGTATAGCCTGTTGTGAATAGTTAAGGTAGTTAGCACAGCTGGTTATGACAGCGGATAGAGATTTTATGTAATGGTGAGTTATCAATCAAATCAATGCCATTTATATCTGCTTACTGCTAAATTATATCAATCAGTCCCTTTAGATCCTTGATAATTATTGTGGAAATTCATCCAAAAATCAACACATCTCCTCACATCTTAACAATTGGGAGCTTATTGCAGATTTTTTTCAAAAATTGTCAGAAACTTTCTTACTTGTACTATACAGCTGCTTCAGCCTTGATTGATGTCAGAATACAGTCCACACTATAGCGAGTAATAAAAAGTCGCATTTACTGTCATGAATAAGCGCAAGTATTGCAATTATTTCCAAATTAGCACCACAAACACCAAATCCTGGAGGGACTGAAAAAAGATGGTCAATAATATTGTTTCATTTTAAGAATTCATTGATATTTTAATAGCACAATCAGCCCTTTAAGAGCATTTGCGTTGTGATAGTTTTTAGAATAAGTCCCAAACAAAGCATTGCTATGGGTTGCTGCATTCTAACCCGTTTCTGTCGGCTTTAATTCTGCTGTCGGTGTGGGACTCATTACAGTGTCTCTGTGGACTCAGACTCCCCATTCAGCAGCCAGCTAATGAATTAACACATTAAGATGAAATGTTGGCCATTACATGTGAATGAGGATTAGAAAAGCAGCAGGACACTAATGGACCACATGGCTCATAACAGAGAGAGACTTTGAACAAGTGAGTGGACCGTCGACTCTCCTGGACCTCGAAACACAGACTGTTCTTTCTTCTAATAGTTCTTCCTGCTTCTAAAGACTGCTGTCCTCTTCATAGTGTCCCCTTTTATGGCTTGATGATGTTTGCAAAAATGCGTCTTGGAGCGTCTTGGTTTGGGTTAGACAAACACCCATGTATACACATACACTCATCCTGCTGCAAACACTCAGCCGAGGTATGTAGCTTGTTTCTTTGGCCAGCTCTCTTTGCATATCAGTTGCCATTGTCTTTTAAAGAACTTTTATTTTCCCCCCAACCAGAATATGCTAATTTGGGCCTCAGTTGTCATTCAGAGCCACCCGGTATTCGCTGCCCCTCTGCCAGAGCTCCTCTTCACCAACTCCTGCTCAGCTAGCTCCTGCCAGTCTGCGCTTCAAAACAGAAACGAGACAATCGTACCGAATTCCCCCACCAGGTTTTCTGTGTGAGCGATTAAAGCAGGTTGTAATATTTGCTCTTCCTGGGGATTATACGTCTTTACGAGGATTAGCCAAACACCCCACGAGAGGGAGGGTAACCTTTCATTAAACTCTGCTGGGAGTTTGGTACGACTACCATCATTTCTGCAGAGGAACCTGAAGGCCCTGGGATGTAGCTGTTGGGTCACAAAGGTTATTTTCTAGACCTTTGATGAACCTAGATAGGGAAATATTCAGACCTGACCAGAAATAATCTCAGCTAAACGGCGAGAGCCTGAAATTAAATAACAGAAACACATAAAGACAAATTCCAAAAGATAGCAGAAGAAAATTGCTTCCTAAACACCCTAAGTGCTAAAAAATGTCTGTCTATGAAAATGTAATTAAAAAGTTCAAAGTTGAAAGAATCAACTCTACACCCCCATAAAATTTAAATTTCAGCATTAAAGAGTTGGAAGATGAATAAAAAACTGTTGATATTTCCATGTTTTATGGGATACACATTACCACTAGCTTGATTCTCTAATCAGAACTTTTTTTTATGTTTATTTAACCACAAGTTGTTCAGAAAGACATCCTTTTGCAGGTAAGATTGACTCCTGATCATTATTCTACAGAATCCTTTAAAAAGAAATCAGAAAACTCTGTTGAAGTGTTGTAAAAATGTTATAGTTTTCAATCTGGTCAAAGTTCCTCAAACTTAGACTGGTCAAAGTTTGAGGAACTTTGACCAGTCTAAGATTGATCAGTACAGCAGTTTGATGACCTGCATCCATTTCCTTATTTCTAACACATATCAGCACAGATAGCTAAACAAAAAAGTTCTTATGTGGAACATCGACAGTTGGTTATTGAGAAGCAAATCTAAAAGACATTGCTCAAAAATAACTCAAATATGCTTTCTAGCTCTCAGATTTGATCTGTCTGAAATGTTTGAATTTCCTCATTTTCTTCTTCTTCTTCTTCTTCTTCTTCTTTAGCGGTCTTAGCAGCACTTAAAAGAGGATCTAACACAGGAAGGAGTTTGGCGTGCAGCAGCTCCGTTTGGTGTGAATGTTACAGCAGTCATGGCCTCCGTAGAAGCTGTGATCTTTACAACTGCATTGAAACTTCACTTCATGCTTCCTCTGCCATCGTCCTGACCAGGATCCTCTGATAAGAAGTTTCTTCTCTGATGAAACAGGTTACGAAGAACAGCAACTCCAACAAACATCACAATGCATTTATTAATGTATTTGCAAAATAATATTTACATCTCTTTAATTTTTTTTACACTTTGTCACATCATCCGCAGACTTTAAAGAGACAGTGTTATTTGTTTTCCAGGCACATAGTGGCATTTTATAGCATAATTGAGTTACTATGTTACCTCCAGTTGTTATAAAAATGCTCTATATGTCAAATATGACGTAAAAGAAATCTGACTTGATAATCTAATGCCTGGAAATTGGGCCTCTGTCTCTTTAAAATCTCCTACTCTTTCTGAAATTCCACCTTCAGGAAGTCAACACAGCATCTCTCCTGTATTAACCTTTAACAACTTAACAAGAAGTAGCTCCCATGATGAGCTCATTATAGATAGTTCCAGCAGGTGTTTGCTAATTACTAATGGCTAGTCTAAAGGAGCTGAGCGTGGAGTAAAAAGCTTGGAAAACTGCAGCAACTCTGTGGAACTTTGTTCTCGAATTCGGGACTAGGTCCACCCAGACATTTTGCGCAGCTCAACGGTTGCCATGGGAGATTAAAGGATTTCTCAAACACGGATGAAAAGATCAAAGCAGCACTCCAGGTACGTTTCTGATGATGGAAAACCATTATAACATGATGAAATCCTCAAAAAAGTCTATTTTATATAACACTGACCCTTTTAAAACTCCGTTATTTAACAGGATGCTTGCTTCATAGAGATGACACAGGTTCACAAGTTATTTCTTCTTGGTTGCTGTCATTACAGAAGCATTTTATTTAAACAGAGAATGACCAAACGGCCCAGACCAGTGTCTCTGCTGGTGTAGTCACTGTGTGAGACTACGCGATGTCTGAATGCTTCGGGAGTCGTCCTTCCGTCCACGCGTGCAAGTGTTGATTGCGATCTGGTGGGTCCGCTCGTTGTGCATCGTTAGAGTGATAGTAGCTCCTGTTGTCATGCCACAAGGTCGTCAGTGTTAATTAGGCTCTGCAGTCAGCCGCAGCTTAATTACTCTTAAAACCCTTTATCTCTAATTGCCCAGTGCAATGAACCTTCATACGCAAGGAACGCGGCGAGCTCCCAATACGCAGAAACCAGTTGGACCATTAGTTAGTTTGGACTGAAGCAGACATTCTTCTCCCTGCAGTTTCTAAACAACAGGATGACCTTTCATCTGATTACGTCCGTCTCTGTGGCAGAGCCTGTCATCTAGACGGCTGGAGTGACAGAAAGCTCACAGGTCAAAGGGCAAACTTGACAGGGAGCAACGTCCAAACACCAGCCCACACGGACTCACTTATTTAGTTTAGGCGTTTAACTTCTCTGAATGTAGTAAGTCCATTTCTGGATCTCGTTAGCTGTTCAAATCGACATGTTCACCTTCCACCCAATAAAACCTTTATCTCATCTACCAACCAACCACAGTCCTGATCAGAGGAGCCAGCAGTTTATGAACAATAGAAACATAAGCCTAACGAACAAAAGGTTTTGTTGTTCTGGAGTTAGGACAGCTGGCAGACAGAGTCAAAAAACGTCAGAAAAACAAGAATTGGTGAAGAATGACGAAATCAGTCAGAACTTTTGAAATTTTTGATGAGCTAATATGTGTTGAATGTATCAGATCAAAGCTGTTCCAGAAACTTACTTTTACATTTTTATGCTTCACATCTAAAGAACGAGATACTTTTTTTGTAACCGTTGTCTCGAGTTCTCCAGGTTTTCTGACGATTTAAAGATTTCTGGAGCTTGCAGGACAGCCTGTAGTTCAGTATGTGGCAAAAAGTAGGAAACTTGATCAAAAATTAAGATTGGTCAGGATTCATTAACAGTCTTCAGCATATATGAAGTACCTGAAAGCCGTGCATAAAAACAAATCCCAGAAGATCCAGCAAATACTAAAATATTAGATTTTTTATCATCTCCAAGTAGATCATTATTCTCAGCTTGATAATCACTTTGTTGAGATCAAAATTTTTATGTTTGGCAGTATTTATAGATTTACCTGTTTTTGTGACTGAATGTTGGTAACAGAATGCTCAAATATCAAATTCAAGTCTGGTTCTTTGCAAATTTTTATGCTCACACAACACTGGTCATCTTAGCTTAAGAGTTTGAGATCACAGCTAAGTGGCAAACAAGTAAAAAACAGAAAGGGACTGAACAGAAACCGAGTCATGAACCATCTAAAGTTTAAAGAAAACCTCTAAAACCCTCCAGAAAGTCTGGAAGACTGTTGATCAAAGCCAAAACGTTACAAGAAGGCCAGACTGGCTGGAAGGAAAATAAAACCAAATTAAGAGTGACACAAGACTTTTGCACAGCGTTTGTCTTTCTGTTCAAACGACCACATAAGGTAGTGCTGGCATGCTGTATTTTATTGTCAACATGGAATCCTGATGAATTTGATGAAAATCTAAAGAAGAAAAGGGGCAGTATTATGTGTTTTTCAAGCACTTGGTGTCATTTCATAACACAATCAAGTGACTATGTTAACTTCAGTTGTTATAAAAATGTTATATCAAATATGACTTTAACAAAAATTGACTTAATTTATTGCCCGAAAATTGGGCCTTTGTCTCTTTAAGAAACTCCTGCTCTTCTGAAACTCCTCCTTCATCTACACTCCTTACCGGTTGGTGGCGGTAAGGAGTCTTTTGACAAACCACGAATGAATCACAAAAAGAAGGAAAAAAAGGAAGAACAAGAAGAAGAAGAAACTGCCTGCAGGAAGTGCTCCTGTATAAACCTAACCCTTTTGCACATATGCGTATGTAATCCATATTACTGAAATACATAAAAAAAGAAACCACCAAATGCCAATCTTCTCGGATTGGCTGCCACTGCTTGTTGGAAGAACATTTAGTCATCTGACAAGATGCTGTCTGCATGTTAGGCGTCTGGCTTCTGCTGTGGCTGCTGGATTTGGCATTCCATTGATTACTCTTCATATCCATTGCTACATATAACTTTACATTTCACTAAGCAGTTAGCTTTGTATCTTCCCCATTTATGTAATTAATTAATTAATTACCTGATGATTAATTAATTAATTTATTTATTTATTTATTCATTTATTTATTTAATTTAGCTGTTTAAAATATTTTCTTGCGGTGCTGCTATCACGACCGCAGAACTCCTTTGTGAAAAGGTTTGTTTTCAGATTTCAATAATAATGGATCAATTTAACCATTATATTTACACTGGACCTTGACATTGTGCACACTTATTAATTTGAAAAGATGTGCTATTCTATTCGGGTATGTTGCCTAATTGATTTTGGGTTTCAGTTTTTATTTTTGATCTCATTTTGTGATAAATATTTTTTTAATCTACCTTCAAATGAAAATTGAACTGAACCTAACTGAACCAATACCACGCTGTTCTTCTTTATTCCCTTTTGTCCTGGGAAAACACATCTGAACTTTCAAAAGTACAGGGAACCAACAGGAATGCTGAAAACAAATAAAACCACAAATAATTCTGAAACAAAGTCGTGAACAGACTTTTTGAAGTGAAATTTGAGACTGTTCGAAACTGTCAAACATTTATAATTTAGAATTTTTGAATTACATAACAGCTGCTTGGAAAATTTATAATTTTTTTTATTTTCTTAATTGCGTAGTAAGTACTCCGAAGATTTATTTTATAGTTTTGAATTTTCATTGACAAATGCTTTGAACTGCTATTCCCTCCATTGCTGATAAATTGAACTACATATAATTTTGGGTATATTTTTGCCTTCTCAAAATTAATACATTTCCGTTTTTTCCCACCTGCTCTCTTTATTGGTTGTTGTTCACTTTAATTAGGCTCCACAAAGAACTGTTCTTCTGTGTTGCTGTCATTTATGTTCCTTTAGCCTTGCATTGTCCATTGGGCCACTAGTCTGAAGGAGCTGAGTGGGTGAGGCAGAAACTTAGAAACTGCAACTCCCATGAGGCATTGCTTGGTCCACACAGACGTTTTGCCCAGCTCAATGGTTGCCACGGGAGATTAAAGGATTTCTTAAACATCCATGAGCGAATCAAGGCAACACTCCAGGTATGTTTTTGATTAGAAAATAATATGACCTAAATCTCAAAAAAGTCTATTTAGTCCTTTAGTGAGGGGAGTTTATAGTTCATTGGGCAAAGACAAATTGCTAACTTCTACATAAAACACAGAGAAGCAGGAAGTTGATCTCCAGTCCCAGTTCAGCTCCAGCTGATCCCATCTTTAAGCCTTCTGTCCAGCCTGTTTGGTGATTTCTCTCTGCTTCTTCTTTACTAGTTGTTTTAACTTCTTGTTTTCATATGCAGCATCTTCTGAAAGAGGGTAGTCATAACTCGCATTAGACAGGTTTACATATGTTGTGGCGGTTTTTATCTATGCTTACCTGTTGGACCTTCCTCTTTCTGGATGCAGACCGAAGCCAGACTGAACAGGGAGAAGATGACGAAGGCTAAGATGATGAAGGTGAGCTCAAAGCCAGAGAATGGCACTTCCATCTACACAGCTGCCTAAACAAAGCATGAGGTGAAACTGAATCAAAGCTCACAATAAGATACAGAATTAATAATAATAATATTCACAGAATGTCTCTGTGTCGCTTAGAGAACCAGGAAGACTTCACTGCTTTTAAGGGGTCAGTATTATGTATTCATCAGACACATGGTGCTATTTTATAGCACAATGAACTAACTGTTAAAAGAAAATTGAATTCATAAATGAATATCTGTGGCTTGGGCCTCGGTCTCTTTAAAAACTCCTGCTCTTTCTGAAACTCCGCTTTCAGGAAGTCATCACAACATGGATCCTCTATTAACCATTTAACAATGTTTTTAACAGCTTTGTACTGAGATGAAGCTCCTGCAATGAGCTCAGCTGATGTGCAGTTCCACCAGGTATTTGCTAATTGCTGCTGGCTAGTCTGAAGAACCAGGGCAACACTCCAGGTATGTTTTTAATGTGGGAATAATAAAACATGACGGAATGCTCGAAAAAGTCGATTTTACAGAATGCCCCCTTAAATCAGATTGATTGAGTTATTTTATCTGGACTCTAATAGAGCTCCAGCTGTGCTTATGATATGATAGAAGCTGAAATGAGGTGATTGTTGCAGTTAATCTTTATGTTTTTAATCATGTAATGACCGTTGAACTGCCATGTTGCCATGTTCTATATTAAAAAACTTGACTTGAAAATTACATTTTGTAATAAAGAAGATATTTTAAAAACATTTTTACAAAGACACTTTTCACATTAATTTGTACAAACAATATGAACTATGAGAAAATGAAGTTTTTTAAACATTTGGCAATTACTGTGCATGACATGGTGCTTTTTCAAACTGCACTACTCACTTTTCTCCACCAGAGGGCCTCCACCAGAGGAAGTACAGAAAGAATTCTCTGTAGTTCGTCGAGGTCTAATTTCAGAAACGCTGTGTATTGTGAACACTGTTCACAATAAACCGTGCTTGACAGCAAGATTTTAAAACCTTTCTTGCTGATTAAAACCTTTATTCATAAACATTTCAGCAGCGTATTTACATCTTATTACCTCATTGTAGTAAAGTTAGACAAAGTTCAGAAACAGGATAATGTTGTGGTGTAAGAGTCGAGCCAGAACTGAGGGAATAATCTGCTTTAATAAAAGGAAAACACATTTTGTGTCACCTTTTAGCAGACTTTACTCCACTAAGTGACACATTTCAAGATCAGAACTTCTCGGCAGCCTAAACTTTCAGTTCAACGCCTCAGCTTCTCAGTCTGTAGTGAACCGGGCTTTTGATGTTGACCAAGTGACACGCTTTAAACATTTAATAAAAAGCCAAAGTCAACTTCAAGCAAAAGGAGGGAACATGAACTGTACCTGTTGCATAAATATTTGATCCCTGAACTCATTCAAACTGTTAGGTATAATCAGGTGAAAGCCTGTTTGCAAACAGGTTCAGCTCTTGAATATCCAATGTGAACAAGTCACACCTCCACAACAATTTGGCAGCAAACAGGTCCGACCAGCACACCTTTTTGTTTCAGACATGAATTTGTTTTATAACCTCCGTAAGCTGAGGATATATCCACATTTCTCACAAATAAATAAGAATTGTAAGTTTGTTGTTGTTGGACTTACCGATTGGAGAGACACAGGCTGTTCTCCAGGTTCAAAGTTCACAGAGGAATCTCCCGGTGCTGTCTCTGGACATCCTACAGGACGAACGGCCAGGCGATGCTGTCGTGAGCAACTTTGTTGGAGCAGGTGTCTCTTTCTTGCTTTTTTTAGTTGAACAATTTGGCCACTCCTTTGTGCCTCATCCTGGAAGCAGGTTACTCTGGGACTGCAAACAAAGCACATGCGCACGCACGCACACACACACACATTCGTTCAGAGGTCGGCCTGCAGGCCCGCTTTTATGAACTGATAAGGATTCACGGCCACACACCAGGAACAAACTGAGCTTTTCTCACAAGCTGAGCATTAACAGCTGAGTCACACCAACAGCTCCTGGCTCTGGGTTCTCTCAGTAGTTTCTGCAAATATAAGAAAAAAATTGCCTTTTTGATGTTGTTTGCTCTCCTTTAAAAAAAATGTAAATAATTTTTTTTTATAAAAGTAAAACCATATTTTATGTCACAGTACATTTCACATACAAATGAAATTATACCCTTTTAACAATAGCTTGACTAAATGTTATTGTGGATCTTGGTTTCAAATAATGTAAGGAAATATTCATATTCACAGTTTTATTGTTTGTGAGAGCAGTCAAACAATTAATGCTGTAATTGTTTCCTGTCGTTTATTTCATGCTGCACCTTTAAACAAGACACTGGTAGAAAAGAAATGTTTTATTGCCTTCACTACAATGAAACATTTATTGCAGTGAATAGATGCAATAAATTTGCATCTATTCACTGCAATAAATGTGAATAAATGCACATTTATTGGGCATCGGTGCCAGCAGGTGTGTTGAGCTTTCCAGGTGTGTTCAGCTCAGTTGTATTTTGTACAGCTGCAGCATTGAGACGCAGCATTGTGACTGTAATGTTTTCTAAACTTTTCACTGCGACAGCATATTATGCCATTGTAGACAATGGCAGAAAGAAATTTCTACCAAAAACATCAACAATTTTATAGAAAAAAAACTTGGAAAATTCTATTTTAAAAGTACTCAAAAATGTCCATTTTTTTTCTAGGAAATTGTCTACTTTTCAAACTCAGAAATTTCCAAGTTTTTTCTAAAAAAAATCTTGAGACCAAATTCAAAGTTCTTGAGGTTTTTCTAGACTTTTCAAACCTAGAAATGGTCTTATCTTTTCTTGAACATTTCTGAGATTAGGCAAAAAAAAAAAAAAAATTCCAGCAAATCTTCAACTTTTCAAACTATCATATCAGAAAACAATAAAATGCATCAACATTTTAATGCTGCACATAGCTTAAGCTGCAATGTCAAACCATGAACATGTCTATGTTTGCTGCTGCTGACTGAAAGAAAAAAAAAGATGAACCATTTGAAACAGACCCATCATAGATTCCCTGAATGGCCTGCAGCAACTATTAGTAATTTATAGCCAAACCAAACCAAATGTTGTACAGCAACACATATATTCACTTTTTAACAACACAAACTAGATTGTTTTTCTCAATATTCCTGCCCCAACATCGCCACTTTTACTTACTAGAGTAGAAATATCTTTTTTTTCCCCACAGTTGAGAAAATTTGATGTGCCAGCAGAAAAGCAGCAGGCAAATTAAAACATGCAGACAATGTTTTAATTGTACATAACTTATTTTTTGTTAAGTACTATTCAGGCTAGTTTATATGAACTTCTGGCAATTTATTTATGCCTGACAATGAATAAATTTTAAGAACAAAATATATCCATAAAAAACAAAATTCATTTTGAAGTTTCAGGCGTTTCCTTTCCTTCTTTTATTAAAATTCCAGCTAAATTATTCATGATTTGCTGATTTCACCTACTGTGTTGGATTTTTTTTCAGCATTTTAGTTTTCTACAAAATTGATTATTATTACACTGTAACTTTAAGTTACAGTTAATATTCATACCCTTGGATGTTTTAGATTTAAAGTTACCTTTTTGTTTTACCGATGTGTTTCATATTTCTACAAGTAATTTAAATGTCATGTAAGATGACCTGGAAAGTCCTCACCAAAGATAAATAAAATAAATTCCTGTGGAAACACAGTGAGCCGTTATGAGAAGGGTTTGGCTGCTTTGACGCCAAGGAACATGTTTCCATATATATTGTTTCCTATCTGTTTTTTTATTTAAACAAAATGGAAATTATGACACATTTTAAAATGTTTTCTTTTCAATATTGCTGCTGTACATTGCTTTGTTTTTTGAAACTTGCTTATCTCACTTCCTATATATATATATATATATATATATATATATATATATATATATATATATATATATATATATATATATATAATTTCCCCTCTCACCCTCCGTGGGTGGTCTCTTTCATCCTCTGAGCTCGGGTCCTCTACCAGAGGCCTGGGAGCTTGAGGGTTCTGCGCAGTATCTTGGCTGTGCCTAGAACTGCACATCTGCAGTTC